TGTGTGTGTGTGTGTGTGTGTGTGTGTGTGTGTGTGTGTGTGTGTGCGTGTGTGTGTGTGGGTGGGGTTTGGTCCCCAGGGGTATGGATAATAATATCGGGTGGGGATTCAGGACCAAGGTATGAACTGATTTTAGGCTAATTTAGGGTAAATGGTCAGAGTTACGCTATAAAATTACCAGAAAATGAATGGAAGTCAATCCACGGTCCCCACAGGGATATAAAAAGAAAAAAAGTGTGTGTGTGCTCACAGCCAGCAGGCGGTTCTTGTCCTTCTCTGCGTTGGTTAAGGCGTTCTCCAGGGTCACTCGGTGCTTCTTGGCGACCTCCTCCAGAGCCCGAGCCTGGCTCTCCTTGGTCTGGCTGGCCTCCTCCTCGTAGCGAGCTCGTATATTGTTCATGTCCTTCTCGTGAGACGCCTTCTCCTCGTGGACGGTCTGACACACACACACAGGAAGTGAAAACACACGTTTGAGCCGTGTTGAAAGGTGAGCTCTGTGGCACAGACTCATATCCTCACCATATGTTGCATCGTTCAGCCATATTGTCTCTGTTTACCGAGCTTTAGCCAAGAAATGAATCTGGCATTCTGTCCGTTTCAGACATTTTGTTCAGTTTTTCTTTATTTTTCACCTATTTTTCATCAGAGACGCATAAAATCTGAGAAGAAAAAGTCTGGGAACACAGATCTGTCTGTAAATGATCGTACAGTTAGAGTCGAGCAGGGTCTTTTGAGCCGACAGCAGATTATTTACAAATTATTTTCCTTTCACTCCTGTTTGAAACGACTCTTTATTGTTACGTAAAAAGAAAAAGAAAGAAACGACATCATGGCTTGTTTTTGTCCTGACGAATGTTTGAAGTGACATCTTACTGTCAGATCACTCAACTGACACATTTTAAACCTTTAAAACAGCCTCTCATATGTGATGTAGACTTTATTGTTCTGAGGATCTAACCTTGTGACAGAAAGCTCAGCAGTTCCTGAACTATAATCACATTAAATGACCTGCATTTTTCTTGCCGTTTATTCTGTTTATGACCTCATTTTGCTGTGAAAACCTTAAAAAACAGCTTAAACAAGCAAGAAAACAGTTCTTGATCATATTATGTGGATTTATGATCTCAGGTTTGAACTCTGTCTTCTTCTGTTAACCCTCCTGCTGCCTTTGGGTCAAAAAGATGCACAAAGCTTCAGTTTAAACACTCGCAGGTTAATATGACCCAAGGGCAGCAGTAGGGTTCTGATGGTAATGAAACTGCAAATTATTAAAAAAAATAAATAAATAAAACTTATTCCCTCTGATTACCACAATTTAATATTTTACAGAGCCTTTATCATTTTCCTTTTTTAAGCAAAATTAGACAAAAATATAAGTTGTTCATATTTATTAACATTAAACCTAATTAGAAAGCTTATAGGTGTCACTTTTAGAAATGAAGAGTGAGATAAAAGGTTTTTTTGCTTACTAAATGTTTTAATATTTCTACTGGAGCTCCTTTCATTTCTATGATACAATACGATATGATAAAGTTCCCTACGATTTGATACACTACTATACGATACGGTACGGTACCCCATGATACAATACGATATGATAAACTACAATATAATACAATACAATACAATACAATACAATACAATACA